TCCGCAGAGTCTTCTCGCGTCGGAGGCTCTTCGGTATCAATCCTTCTGGAGGGCCTCGCCGCAACCGCCTCCCCCTCCTGCTGTGTTTCGGCCTGCTCCTGATCTTCCTCGCCTCGAGCTGGACGCGGTTCGAAAAATCTGCTTGCGGCACAAGGAGAGGTCCGCGGTGTCCACTGATGGTTTCCACATTCGGCACCTGGGATGGTTGTGTGACGACGGTCTCCAATGTCTTCTGGACCTTTTCCTGGTCATGGAGACTTCGGGGTTTTTGCCCGCGCAGTTGGCGATTGTCATCATGTTTCTCATTCCCAAGCAGCCAGTGGGTGTGCGCCCCATCGGTCTCTTCACCTCGCCCTACAGGGTGTGGGCCAAAGCCAGACGTCCCATTGCTGATGCCTGGGAGCTCTCCCACGCCAGACCTTATTTTGCCGCAGGATCCTTCACAGGTGCAGGAGACACCGTGTGGAGACAATTGCTCCGAGCTGAAGCTGGTGTGGCATCCTCCAAGATCGCGGTGAATCTGTTATGGGATTTCTTCAAATACTATGAGTTGTTGCCGCTGGACCAGCTACAGCTCCGATGTTGTAAGCACGACTTTCCGCTTGCGGTCAGCCGCCTCGCCATCAGGGCCTATTCCTCCGTCAGGCACCTCACGCTCCAGGGCATGGTGTCTGGGGGGGTTTTCGCCCTGAGTGGTGTGGTGGCTGGCTGCAGCCTAGCCACTACTATGATTAGGATCAACGCTTTGGATCCCCTTGATGCGATACCTTGGCACCCAGTGGTCGACTTTAAGTTGTATATTGATGACAGTGGCATTTCGGCGGTCGGAGATTATCAAGAGGTGGTGCAAGGTGTCGTGGATGGGGCTCGTCATTTGCAGCAGGCCGCCGATGACATCGGCGCCGCCCTCTCGGCCGACAAGGCCACGCTGATTTCCAGTCACCGAGGAGCGGGGTTGGAAATTCAACAAAAGCTTGGGTTGGAGCTTTCGGGGCCCCTCGTCACCTCAGGAGTCAATTTGGGGGTGGATGACACGCAGGGTCGCCCCTTGCGCTCCCAGGGCCGAAACTCCAGGGCCAAGAGACGGAGGCGTGATGGGGAGGCCCGTGCGGCCAGGTTGGGGCGTTTATCTCGTCACCTCAGTCGCCGTCGTCTGCGTCGCTTGTGGGTCGCGGGACCCCTCCCTGTGTCCAGTTATGGTGCTGAGTGCTTCGGATTGAACCCCTCGGAGCTTCTGGGGCTCCGTCGTTCCCTCGGTCGGTTGCTGAAACCATCGGCGGGCCAGAGATCTCTGTCCACCCTTATGCTTCTTGAGGGCGACCCGTCTTGGTTGACCCAAGTCGCGTGTGTCACCAGGTGGCATAGGGAAGTGTGGGCCTCTGCGAGTAGCCTTCACCCAGCCGCTTTGACGATTCCTCAGCTTCGGCGGTACTGGCAGGCTGTCTGGAATAGACCTCAGCCCACGTGGAGGGGAGTTTCTGGCCCCCTCTCTGCCATTCGGCTGACTTTAGATAGATTGGGATGGATCATGCTAGATTTCAACCGTCTGCAGGACGACCTTGGCCATCTGCACGAGCTGTTTTACACCTCTCCCCGCCTTCTCAGGACTCATCTTCGTTCTGCTGTCCTCAGGAGACTCGAGAGGGACATTTCTCGTAAACATCATTTCGTGCATGATCGTCTGTCCTTCGACGTCGTCTCCTCTTCCTTGGCCTCCTCTAAGTTCACGGCGTTGCAGAAGGGGACCCTTCGCGCCTGTGCCTGCGACGGGATCTGGACGCGTACGATGGCGCGCAGCCGCGGCTACCAGTTCCCTCAATCTTGCGAGCTGTGTGGGTCCTCGACGGATTCGATCTTCCACCGTCTTTGGCAGTGCCCAGCCCTGGATCAGGAAAGGAAGGAGTTGGTGAGGGAGGAGCTTCTCGAGGGCGTCTTGGACTATGTCAGCTCGTCTGATAAGTTGTTCGTCGTCACCCGTGGCGCCATCCCCCACCCTGGAGACCGCTGCCCGCCCCCTGTGCACATGGACGACGATGAGCTCGAAGTTGTCTGGCACGTGCCCCCTCCCCTGCCAGATTTTTCAGGTGTTGTCTTTGTAGACGGGTCTTGCACCCGACGTATTATTAAAGAAATGTCTCGGGCTGCCTGGAGCGTCGTTTTGTATTCCCCTGACAAAACTCGTCTGGCTAGTGTTTCGGGCCCCGTGTGGGCGCACCTCCCGCAAACGCCCCAGGCGGGAGAGTTCTGTGCGTCTCTTGCGGGGGTCCAGTTGCTCGAAGGTCAATCCTCGCTCATCTCTGATTGTGAGAATGTCGTGCGGTCTTTCGCCCAGGATAGAGCCGCTCAGCTTTCGGACAAGAAATGCTACTCGGGGCATCTGCTGCAGGCTCGTGCAGCCGATGGTTTCAAATTTCTCACCTCGGTCTCTCACGTTCGAGCCCACCAGCCGCTCGATGACCCCGAAGTGTCTGATGAAATTCGGTTCTGGCGCCTTGGCAACGATGACGCGGATCATCTAGCTAAGGCGGCCCTTGCCCGCCACCCCACGGACCCCGATATAGAGGCGGAGGTTGAGCGGGACGTGAAATATGCCAAGGCTTTTTGCTTGCTTGCTATGCACCTCCTCCCGAAGTTTCAGTCTTTGCGAGATTTCGGTGAAGTGGAATACGTTAAGCCTCAGCAGCCGGTGCGGATCGCGGGACCTAGTCACCTCTGGCTCCACTTGGGCACTTTCTGGCGTTGTGAGCGTTGCTTGAAAGTTGTCCGTCAAAAGTGGCCGCGTAAGCCTCCGCCTAGCGTCTGCCCTGGCCCGCGAGACCTGCCAGTGGAGCAGATAGCCTCTCTTGGTCACCGCTGCGTCGCCTTTGAATGCGGTGACCAAGCACTCCTGCTCATATGTACGGCATGTAAGTGTTACTCCTCCCATGGCCGCTTTAAGGGCCTCATGGAGCGATGTGTTGGCAAGCCCTCCAGGTTCGGCAAGTGGGTTTGGTCCGTCGTCGCTCGTGGAGGCCACCCTAAGCGACGCGAACTGTCAGTGTTTTGCCCTCTCCTCCTTTCGGACTTTGACCTCCCCCCTCCTCTCTCCGTGAGGCCTGCTCGTAAGCGCGCTAGCTCGTACTCGGACTCGGAAGAAGACGAACGCAGGCGCGCTGTAGGAACTTCGTTGGCGGAAACGGCCGAAGCCGCCGCTCTCCACAGTATGTCTCAGCAGAGGAGAGATACCCATCAAGGGCCGAGTCGGGACAGTCCCACTTTCTTGGCGAGGAGACGCCAGGATCAGTCTGACAGTTCCGATTAGTTTAACTTTGTGTTTGTGGCCTTCGGCCTTTCTATTTCTCGTTTATGCCTTGGCTCTACATCTGGGGCGAGGCTATGTCGTCCAGGCGCATCCAGCACCTGGGGCAGGCCTCGTCGTCCTTGTGTGGGCCTTTCTTTTTCCGTGTGTGTGAGGGCTTTCTTCAGCGAGCACGGGGGTAGTTCTATCCCGACTGTAGCTCGACTTTGGCGGTTGCTGTGGCCAGGTAGCGTCGCCCCTGGCCCCACCGCCTGGGCCCTCCTCGTGCTTCGTGCGCGGCGCGCTCGAGGAGGTGTCCAACGCTCGTGCAGCTGCGGCGGCTGTGCGTGCGCTCTTCTTTCCTGCCGCCCGAATTAGGGGATCAGCCCTTAATCTCTCCTCGTGGTTCCTCACCTTTCCAGCTGGTGAGGGGCCGCTCGAGGCTCGCCGTGAGGGTGCGGGGGGGTGTGGCACATCCCCCGACTGCAGCCCCCTGGCTTTCCCTGCTGCCTGCGACGCCTGGTGTCAGGGAGGGTGGCGTGGAGGTTTCAACGCAATCCTCCCGCCTCCCCAGCCTTGCCAAGGGTACGCCCCACCAGTGGCAAGAAGCATTCAGGGGTTGAAGGGAAAAAAAAAAAAAAAAAAAAAAAAAAAAAAAAAAAAAAAAAAAAAAAAAAAAAAAAAAAAAAAAAAAAAAGGGGAGGAGGAGGAGGAGGAGGAGGGGGAGTAGGAGGAGGAGGAGGAGGAGGAGGAGGAGGAGGAGGATGAGGAGGAGGAGGAGGAGGAGGAATCATCAGCACCGAGCGGCAGAGAATCACAGCGTCTGCGTGCTGGCCTCCCCACGGAGGCACGCCGCGACTGCAGCGCGCTGCAAGCGCAGTCCGCCGACTGGCGCCACGCACGGCCACCATCGCCGCAAGCGCCCACGGGCACGGCCGTGCGCGCGGGCGCGCGACCGCCGGCGCGCCGCGGCAGCTGCTGCCGACGTTACCTGAGGCCTTACTCGAGTCAGAAGTTTCCCAGACGATACCACGTGGAAATCGGTCACCCCTGAACGATCGCGGCATTCCGATGGCGCGACTCGTTCGATGTCGGCCAACTCCGCGCCCCTGGCGGCGTTCAACCTCGAACGTCCGTGCCGGGGTCGCCGCCGCGTCGACTCGGCCTGGACCTGCCGTCAGCTGCGCCACAAGGGCCCGTGACCCACGCAGCCCGGCACTCCGTAAACTGCGAAGCGGCGAGACGCCCGACTCTGCACGCGACCGTGCCGTTACGAGGCGGAATCTGCAGCACCCCCACTCCCCCAGGTGGCACAACGCTACACAGGCACTAATCGGGGTGATCTCCTCCACCTCCTCCATATCATTCGCCCCAACCGTCCTTGTGCTGAGACAGCGACAGCATACATACATCGTGCCGTGAGGCGCACGGACACCGCCCTCCTCTCCCTCCTCCGACTCGCTGTCCCCCACCCCTCTCTTGCTCCCTCCTCTCCCCTCACTCCCCCTCACCACTCTCCACCTCCTCCTCCTCCTCCTCCCCCTCCCCATCCCGCTCTCAGCCCCCCTGTTCCCCACAACCCTACTCTATCTTTGTCCGCGCGTCTGCTATCTGCTGGGCGAACGAAATCATACAATTGCCCCACGCGCTGCAAGCTCTTAGGATCCTCGTCCTCAAGATATTCGGCAAGGCATCCGGTATCGTCCTCAAGATGATCAGTAAG